AGAATGAATTTTCTCTCATCTGACTTTAAAGACACCTGATTCTTTCCTCAGGTTATAAATTTTCTTTCTACCAAAGGTAACCCATAAAGTAAGGAAAACGGTTTAACTACATCTGTATCATCTTGTTAATGACAGCTTAAGTGAAAAGACTACATCCTTCCTATAAGTAATAATGGACCTAAGAATAGGTTGCTTGAGAGAGGACAGGATAGTTGAGGATTGGCTCAGGGGGGCACTCAGGGCACTCAGGAGTTTTCAGACACTGCTGCTGACCACTAACACTGCCTCAGGGAGAGATGGCCTCACTCGGAAATAGCTGAGTGGCTAGGGAAGTATGGGCCTTGACGCTAGTCATCAGTGTGAGCCAAAGATAGTAGAGCTTCCCTGCCAGTCCTGTGAAATAGACATTCACGTTCAATTAGGTTGATTTTTAAAACGTGACTTTTTTTTTTGGCACGCTAGAGGTTATTGCTGTAAATTCATACCTGCTAAATCTGCTTTGCCCTAATTCATAATGTAAGCCTTTTTTCCAAATAGGCAATATTGGGCCCTTAAAACAACATTAATTGGGTAACAATCTAAACCCCATGGTATATCCTAAAACAGTATTTTTCAAACATGAATAATACATATTTAAAGAAAGTTTTGCATGGACTCGAGAAATACCTCTTTGAAAAATAGGGACTTAAGAAACTAGTCTTATATAAAATATCTTGAAATTGAAAATCCTTATTGCAAGAGTTTTAGATGACAGGTAACAATTTTTTAATGTTATCAAAAAAAGTACACCCTGATTTTGCACAACTCATGTACTCTTGAGACCACCTGTAGTCACTATTGTAATGATTATTTCCTTAACTAGTCATTTTGCTTTTGCTTTATGTGAGTTAAAACTGGATTTTCAGGGGCGCCTGGATGGCTCAGTCCATTAAGCATCTGCCTTTGGCTCAGGTCATGATCTCAGGGTCCTGGGATCGATTCCTGTGTTGGGCTCCCTGCTCAGAGGGGAGTCTCCTCCTCCCTCTCCTTCTGCCCCTCCACCCTGCCCGTGCCCTCTGTCTCTCTCAAATAAATAAAATCTTAAAAACAAACAAACTGGATTTTCATGGGGGCACCTGGGTGGCTCAGTCCATTAAGTGTCTGCCTTCGGCTCAGGTCATGATTTCAGGGTCCTGGGATTGAGTCCCGCATCGGGCTCCCTGCTCAGCGGGGAGTCTGCTTCTCCCTCTGTCTGCCACTCCCCCTGCTCGTGTTCTCTCACTCGCTCTCAAATAAATAAAATCTTACAAAAACCCCTGGATTTTCATGTATTAATTTTGGGTAACAATGGCTCTGGAAATCCTGTTTACAAGGACATGCTTTGGGAATTGGAAGGGTTTGGCCTGGAAGGGACACACAATAGGAATATGTGGTAGCTTTAAACTCTGAAAACTGCTATCAAGTGAAGGAAGACTTCACCTATGGCCTCAAAAGAGAGAACCTGGCACCAAAAGGAAACATTTCAGGAAAACAATGTGCTACATACAATTTTCTCACAAACAGAACTGTTCATAGTGGGCTGTTTAGGGCAGGAGTAAGCTTCTTATCTGTGTCTCAAGAAGAGGCCAAGAAATACCCATAAGAGATGATGACTAAGGGATTTTTATTGCCTTTTTCCACTGAGATTTTTTTCTTTATCCAATTGAGTCAGGATTACACCTGTGTTTCCAGCAATTAAAATTTACAAAGTCAATTCTCCCCAAAAAATTGCCTTTTCTGAAAGATTATTGACCAACCTTTCTGAAAGGTTTCAGACACTTTAGTGTATAATGCCTCCTAGTGGAGCTGAAGTTCAATTTCATACACCTTTGCATATTCCAAAACACGAGCTAAAAATTTGATCCGTACTCTTATTTTATTAATAAACATGCTCCCATCTGAACATTAAAAAGATATTAACATACCATTCCTAATTGTCCCCCGTCTCCTGTCATTAGGTTAGACTTCCAGTAATGAAGGTAGTGCCATTTAGTAACTTCCTCAAAGATGTGCCTTCTTTTGAGTGAGTAAACTCTTATTTTTTCATAATGGTTCCTCCAGATAAAAAATATAAATTCTTGTCTCTGGCTTATATTTTACTGGAGTTTTGGTTTTTAATATTTTAAAGCAGCTTGGGCTACAGTTTTCTTATTGCTAAATTTATTTTAATCTCTGAAACCATCTTTTAATTGGACATTTCTATAGCATTTAAAGATAGCTTGATTTTGAGGCTATCAGTTAAGATACTCATGGCATAAGAGCAAATATAATTAGGAGTCAGATTCGTCCTAGTTTTCATGATCTTTAGCAGGTTTAATAAAAAGATACTAATAACAGCAATGAACAGTTAAATAGCACTGTCGGGGACTATTCTAAGCCCTTTACACTTATTAACCTAATCCTTGAGACAAATGAGTAGGAAACCAAGGCACAGAAAGGTTTCTAACTTGCCCTGAAGTTCCATTTCAGGTGGAGCTGGTGTAGAAACCCATGTCAGTGGTTCCTGAACCCATTATGCTCTACTGCTTCTCAAGGTTTGGGGGAAGGGATGTACCCGAACACCATGGAATAGCACTCACCATTTTTGGCAAGTAGTCCTTTCAGGATTCATTGGAGCATTTCCATTATATATTGGGTTTCTCTTCCCATTGAAAGCTAATCTCTGTTTGTACTCTGCATTGTATTACCTTCGGTCTTCCAAGAGTCTTACTCTTACAAATATTTTTTCTCGGTCTTGTCTTCAACATTTTTGGGGGGTTGACGAAACAGTACCGCTATTAATTATTTTTCCAACATAATACTGGCTTCCTTCCACCAGCATTCAAATGTCAAATCCCTGACTGTCTTAAAATAAGAAATCCTGTCCTTCTGTGACTCTCTCATCCCCTTCTTGAGTTGCCTCCCCTCTGACTCCCATTGCTCAACATACTCCAATCTAGCATTCAAGTTCACTGACCTGTGAAACTGTTCTCACCAAACTCACCCATGACCTTTTTACTAATTCCAACATACCTTCTAGTCTTTAACTTCCCTTTGGGAAGACTGTAACTTGGCTGCCCACTCTCTCCATGCATCCCGCTTACCTTGGTTTTGTGATGTCCTCTTACCAGGTTTTCCTTCTTAACCTCTCTGGCCCTTCTCCCCAGTCTCCTCAGGTTTCCACTTCATTGTCTGTCTCAGGGATTTGCTGCCCTCTCACTACAGAATTGCCCTGGGGTTTTTTTTGTTTGTTTGTTTTTTTCATCTATTTGTGCTATTTCTTTTTCTCTGTATGTAGATGACTTGCAAATTTCCAGCCTAGAGGCCTCTCCTGAGCGTCAGGCCCATATTTTTATCTCACTTGCATAGTTCTCAAGCCTCCTCAGCACATACAAATGTAAACTACTACCTCTTGTACACACCACACAGAGATGCACACGTACACACAATCAGCCTCTACTCTGGCATTTCCTTTCTGAGGGAACGGTCTCACTGTCTACCCAGCTGCCCAAAGCAGAAATCATTTTCAGACACTTTTTCTCCTTCACTAACTTTTTAACTCCTCCTTATCCCCTTCTGTCAAAACCCGTTATTTCAAGTGCAGGCCACCATATACTCAAGTGGACTATTCAACCTCCTAAACGGTCTCTCTGCTTCTAGTTCTACCACCTGACAACGGCCAAGTAATCTTCGTAAAGAATACCCTGTCACTCTTGCTGAAATCAGTTTGAATGTCTTGACTTTACCTTTAGGATTAAATCCAAACTCTCCCTTGACCAGGACTCACTCTTCCCATTCCTCCAGCTTTATCTTTTGCCACTTTGTCTCTCCCTAGGAAGTTCCAGCTAAGTTTAAGTTCTTCAAGTTTACTGAAAGGGTGATATATGCTCTGTTGCACTCGGAGCCTTCACGCATGCATTTCGCTCTGCTGGAATATTTACCAATCCTCTCAGTTACCTAGCTAATGTCTACTAATTCGTTCAGGTCCCGGCTTCAATATAACTAACGGGAAATCTTTATGGACTAGACCTTGCCCCCTAGCTAGACTAGGTCACATATCCCTGATTTTATTTATATGTTATATATAAATATATATACATAAAATACACAAATATATATATAAATGTATACATATAACATTTATATATATGAAAAATAAAATGCTATAGCATGGCACAGCATTTATGAAAACTACTGTAATTGTAAAGATGGCAGGGGTTTTGTTTGTGCTGTTCACTGCTGTCTGTCTCTCCAGTAAAGGGCATAGCACCTGGCACATCCAAGACGTGCAATATTTAAGTTAGAACATACTACCTCATAGAACAGCACATTCTTTGAGCACCTAATTACCTAGAAGGTGGTTCTTTCAACTGAGCAGCACCTTGTCACTTCTATGTATTGGTTCTGGTTTTATACCCTAGGCAACATATGAAACAATCCTTAGACTATCTTCAAGTGAATAAAGCAATGTGCTCTGGGCTTCTAGTTCCCATAGAGCATGGTGCCTAGAACTGAACACTCATCTAGGTGGGTCTCACCTCGGAGTAGAGTAGGGCCATTGCTACACCCATCTGACAGGCTATCCTTGTAATAGAGTAACTGGATTACATTTACACTATAGATTCACACTGACAAACTCCCTCAGTTCTTTTTTAAGTACCATTGTCTCCAAGCAGCATTTGCATGTGCATTTTTTTGGACACAAGTTCAGGATCATACATTTCTTCTTGTTAAACTCATCCAAGTTGATCTGAAACATCATGCCAGTTGGCTAACATGGGAAGAGATTTTAATCTTGTTAGTGTATTTGTTATTCTACTCAATTTCATGACATCTACTAATTTATAAATAAACCTTACTAGCCATGTAATCATAGACAGATTCTGATTTAATCACTTCAAGTCTATCTCTTCATCTGTGAATGGGGCTGATAATAAAATTGGGGTTATCATGAGGAATAAATGTTCGCAAAACACATACTGCAGTTCTTAGGACACTATATGTACTCAATATATTTAACTCATTATTTATTCATATCACTGATATCAAAGTTGAACAGGGCAGATACAGGACAGAGGTCTGTGTCAGACCACTCAAAACCACCCTTCTAGGTTTATGTATATTCATTAATAATAATGGTCTCATATAGCCCATTTCTATTGTTCTGCCCACAAGGGCATATTAGAGAATGTTTAAAAAATGCATTTCTCAAGTACATTGTCTCTCATATTTCCTAGATTGATATATTCACCTAACACTCCCAACCCTCAAAAAAAAATTTCAGCTTTCCCAATTTGTTCTTAGTGAACCATTTAAACAACTTTTTCCCAAGACACTGAGTACTACACCCTTATTTCTTTTTAAAATCTCAAAATGCCTAAAAAATTTCTACCTGTTGAGTAAGAGCATATGAAGTGATTTATTGATACTGGTTAATATCCATTATATACAGGTAGAAACCCTCAAGATTGTACAGAGAACCATTAAGAATATAGATAAAGACAGTTTTATAGACAAAACAACAACTGGAAAACAGTTTTAACATACACAACATATAGTCATGAAAAAAAAAATGTAGAACACAAATTGTTCTACCAAATAGATTCCAAGGTTATTAGAAGTCTGCTATGCAGACCTTAAGTTGAAAAACATGTTCAATGGGTGTCACATGGTTTAAAAAAATTAGGTATAATGTAAAAATTGTTTTTTTTTCCCTCACTGCAAATGGGAGAGCCAAGACAACTTTTTACCCCAAATCTATACATTTTGAAAAATAATTTATATGTCTAGCACAAAGAAAGAAAATTGAGAATGTTTACAGTTCTGTAAACTATGCCTTTCATGAAATGCAAACTGGCTCACTTTTAACAGTTAAAAATTGTGCAATCAGAAATAGACTGTTCCCTTTAAAAAGTACAATTGTACCTTCATTGACTTTATACCTGAGCACCAAAGCTGAAGTCCTAAACGTCATCCTGGAAAGATATTTTGAAAATGAGCAAGAAATCAAAACTAGCCTGGTATCATCTAGAGAATTAGGCACCAAGAAGGAGATTATCTCCTTAAAAATGCAACATCAACAATAATTGAATTCATTTAATTAAGCAGCTGGCAGATCTCTTTGTGAACGCAACAAAGGAAATCCACATAAGACGATCCTCCATAAAGTCCCTTGTCTTCTACCAGGAACTGTCGGAAAACCATTTCTGGCTGCTCCCGCTGCTTTACTATTGTCAGCTAGGAAAAAATAACAAGGCAGGTGGTTATAAACGTTCTCTGAATGTGGCTCAATTTTGTATGCTTATATTTCACCAAAATTATATAATGTCCACTGTGTGTGAGGCCTTGGACGATGATGGGAAAGTGCCTATTATCCAGAGTGGAGGGAGGCACTGACCCCAAAATCACAAAAACCCAAGACATACACCACTATAACTGACAACAATGAAATATAAGCAAAGCACTTTGGCAAAGCCTTCACAATAGTAATAATGATCACTTGAGCCTTAAAGGATAAGGCAGGATTTCCTTAAGGACGGGGGTGGGGTGGGGTTAGAGAGCATTCCATAATGGGGTGCCATGTACCATGTACCAAAGATGGACATGGCTGGCATGTGAATTAACAGTCTTAAAGTCAGCGGATGGTTAGGGACAAACTACCTAAATGAGTCTGAGCTTTTGTAGGAATTGGGATCCAGTGAAAGTGCCGCAGAACAAAATGAGTTAACTGGTAGAAGGCACTAAGAGATGAGAGAAACTTGATAGGAAGCAGCTGGAGGCATGTAGGTGGGAGATGATTGGGATCTGAATTCCAGGGCAGTGAAGGTGGAAAGGGAAGAGATCTGAGAGGTGCTACATGGGTAGAGCATGTGACCCTTGGTCTCTGTGTTGTGAGTTCAAGCCCCATGTTGGGCATGGAACCTACTAAAAAAAAAAAGAAAAGAAAGAAACACAATTGGGAGGTGCTACAGAGGTGGACTGCACAGGGGATTCTTGTTCCCTGCTCATAACAACGATCTAGGGTCGCGCTGTCCAGTACCGTAGCCACCATCGACATGTGATTATCGAACACCTGAAACACAGCTAGTCTGAACTGGGTTGTACTGTTAAGTGTAAAAAACACAAGGAATTTCTAAGACTTAAAGAAAAAGAAAGTGCGAAACTCACTAACTGCTTATCCATGTGGAAATGATATTTTGGATATACTGGGTTAATAATATATTACTAAAATGACTTTTCTACATTTTTGACGTGGCTACTAGGTAACGCAGAATTACATATGTAGCTTGCATTGTTGGACAATGCTGCTCTAGGGGAAGAGGTGCAAGGGAAAGAAGCCCAGAAGGGGGCAGTCTTGGCATGAACACTTGGAGCCCTTCCTGGTCCTTACTCACTCCTGTTTTCAGGAAGTCAGAGATGATGTGAATGGTCAGAATCTGTCGTCTGTTGAGTTATGAGTGGAGTTAATGACGCACACATACAAAACAATGTCTCTCTGCTTTATGGCATCTCCTCACTTCCTCTCACCTGGTGAAACCACCAGAAAGGTCTGAAGTTACCAGCTGCAGTGAGGAAGGTACGTTCCACTTTGGCTAGGAGGGCCTGGCCCTCCCTACTTTTGCTTTAGTTATCAAGTAGAATAATTCTGTCAACACAACTTGCTTTCTTTCCTTTATGTTACTTTGGCCTGGTCTCTGTCCCTACGCTGATAAGCTTTAAACCACCGTGACCCGATCAAAACACAACAGCTGTCGCCACCGCCACTCACAGCTCAGCGAATCTATGTGGATACGGACAGGTGTGATGTCCTGGCTTTCAGGTGTCACTGCCAGGCATGGGGACGGCGGTGTGGACAGGCACGCCTCCACCCCAACATGGAGAAGCACAGCTAACCTCCAATGGAAACTTCTCCAAAGGAGGTTAAGACTCCTTGAGCCTGGAGCCAAGGCCATTTTCTTTTTACTGGTGTTGTATCTACCTTCTCCCACCGGCCACTAGGACTCTGCTATTGTCCCTGATGGGCAAGAGCAATGTGGGTCTGGCCTCAGTGACACAGCCCAGGCTGAGACTGGGCAGAATGAGACATTGTGAAGGGAAGGATCTGAAGCTCCTATTTCTTTAGAATTGAACTTCTCTATGGAAATTAATGGGAGGAAGTTCATACTATACATCTGAGGGGCATATACGCTGTTGCTGCCATTCACCTGGGTTATTAATTTCCCTATGGTGTTCACTGTAAAACTTCCTTTGATGAAGGGTGTCTGGCTATGATCTGAGGTGGGAAGTAGAATAGGAAATGAATTTCAGCCTAGGCAGAAACTTAGCTTTAAGGTAAAATAACAAATATCCTGACTCAGGGCACCTGGGTGGTTCAGTCGCTTAAACATCTGACTTTGACTCAGGTCATGATCTCGTGGTTCTGGGACTGAGGCCCACGTCAGGCTCCCTGCTCAGCAAGGAGTCTGCTTCTCCCTCTCCTGCCCCTCCCCTGCTCATGCTGTTTCTGTCTCTCAAATAAATAAATAAATAAAATCTTAAAAAAAAAGATCCTGGCTCTACCATTTGAGTCTCTACAAAGTTGAACCACCCACTACTAGTCCCAGAGTAACACAGAAAGTATGGTGGAAGGTCTCAGGAAGCAGATTCATGAAGTGGTGGCAAGCCGTCTTCGCTGTCTTGACATGCTGGTGGTCTTCTCAAGGAGTAGACCACACAGCTAAGAGAAAAATACTGGGATGGACTGGGGAATCCATATTGTATCAGCCCCCTCCCCTTTCCATTTCTGTAGGAGGGACATAGCCTTGTAGAGTGGGAAGAGAACATTAAAATGATCATTGCTGGTATCCCTCCCAGCCTCCTATGTACCCTCTTCATGGAAGAACTGACTATCTCAAGTAGTCCCAGTTTATGTTCTCTAGGCCACAGTACAAGGTGCTTTAAAGACTCAATCACTTCAAAAGCCATTCTCATTTCTCATTGCCTGCCTCATAAGAAATAGATAATGAGAGTGATTAGGATCGCCCCAAAGAATGAGCTGATGAGAAGACAGCCGCAGACACAACTTAGGGGAACACCAACTCTTCTTAAAGGGCAGATAAACGAAAAGAATCCAAAGAAGAAGGTCAGTTGAGAAAGAAGCATCATGAGAATATGACGTTTTGAAAGCTGACAGAAGAGAAAATTTGACGAAAGAGGTAATATTCATTTTTATAATTGTCATAAACGGATTGAGAATCAATTTCTTTAACTGTCTGGCCGCTTTCAGATACCTGGAGACATGGGAATAAGGGAATATAAGCAGTTTGACAGATGGCTTTTTCAAGAAGTATGGTGATAAAATGCCTGGTACATTGCTAGTATTTAATACAAATTTGTAGAAAGAAATAAAAGGGAAGCAGAATCTTGGAAGAATCAGGAGCTTCAGTGAAGGTAGATTTGAATGGCTTATAAACTGGGAAGGAGCCAATGGGATGGGGAGTAATCTACAAAACACATGAGGAAGAAGAGAATGGCAAACACTTGGAACACAGAGAACTTGGAGCAGGGCAGGACTAGAATTTATCAGTGAGACATCTGATTTCGGTAATCTTCCCAGATATCCTGTGATAGAAATCTTTTTTTTTTGTTCACCCACAAATGTAAGACCATGCAGACAATGGCGAGGTCTAAAAGGGTTGACTGTCTGAAAAGCTAATTAGCATAACCTAGAAAGCAGCAGTGCCTTCTGGATTTGATTTTGCTGTTCTTGACCCTTCCATTCCAGTTTTTGTTCTCCTCTTCAATCTTGACTCTTTAAAAGAGATTTAAAGATTCTATAATGTGTTTTTATTTCCTTTGTGTGGTCCATTTTCAAAGGTGAGAGCCAAAGGTATAATGCTATGTGCCCTGGACTAAGCAGCCGGGGCTAGGCCTGTATCTGCGCTGATCTAGCTGTGACACAGAAGCCGAGTGAGCGAGGTCCTCTGAGCCTCATTTTCATTATTTGTTAGGTGGTGCTGGAGGGAGCTGAAAGGCAGTGGCTGGACCAGGTGTCTTCTACAGGCCTTTCAGCTCTAACATCTGTAGATTTTTGGTTTTCCAATTTGTTATACAGATAGTACCTTGAAAAGGCCAAATTAGTCTTTTTTTTTTTTTTTAAAGATTTTATTTATTTATTTGAGAGAGAGAGAATGAGAGACAGAGAGCACGAGCGGGAAGAGGGTCAGAGGGAGAAGCAGACTCCCTGCCGAGCAGGGAGCCCGATGCGGGACTCGATCCCGGGACTCCAGGATCATGACCCGAGCCGAAGGCAGTCGCTTAACCAACTGAGCCACCCAGGCGCCCCCAAATTAGTCTTATAAGCAGCAGATACATTTGTAAGTGGCACATAAGAAACTTTGATTTAAATATTCAAGCCAAAATTATTTTACATGCAACTGCTTATCTCTTATTCACATATATTCGGAGCTTATCCCAGATATTTTTATAATCATTAGAGCTAACATGCACTATTAGAGCAGGTGGGAGAAAGCAGAGGAGAAACAGGTTTTATTTTTCCTGGAAGGAGAGGCTCCTGAGCACAGGGATGATCTCCATGTTTAGCCTCTTCTCTGCAGATGGGGCAGTGGTGGGGATGCCGCTGCTGCAGCTGGGATAAAGGTAGATGGATCATCATTGCTGTGCACTCAGTACCAGTGGTTTCCAATTTTTGTTTCACGAGACCTTAGATTGCATTACATGCCTCCAAGGCATTCAGAGAGTGTCCTACAAAGAATGTATTTAGCGTGAGCCTTCTCTGCCCTCTCTAGGTCTTGCCCTAAAACTGAACCCAAGTAGATGCTGTGTGGTATGAGAACAGTTGTAGAAATGTTCTGTGTTCACCCCGTCATCCTAGGGATTATAAAGATCTTCATTAGTTCAGTTTATCTCAGCTCTGCCTCAAGTGGATGTGTGCATGCATGGCTATCTCTCACAGTTAAGGATGTTGACTTAGATTAATACCACGTTCATGTTTCAGGGAAAAATGGCCTGTAATACCCTGACTGTTGTAGAGGCCTGTCTCCAGGTGAGTGTCCTACACCTCTGCAGGGAGGAGCGCCATAAGGAACCATCATCATCATCTGTACATTTCAAACTCCAGGAGACTCTAATATTGAGCTTGAGAAGGAAGACAGGTAAGTAGCAGGGACTTAGTAACAAGGCATCATTTTCCTGAGTTATAGACATTTTATATTCTTTTACTCAAACTTGAACGCTTGAAAGGCTTAGAAGGGCTAGGATAGCAAACTTCTCAGAGATCACAAATCTAAAGTTGTAAAAATAAAATTTTAAAAATGTTCTGAATTTCTGAATGATAGTTCTATAACTAAGTAATTTTAAGCACTGACGGCAGTCATTTCATAGTCTGTCAATGATATCAATTGCTACTAAGCCATGAAGAAGTTCTCCTTGATGACTAAGTTAATAATTACTAAAATAACCCATGGTCAACCTGTGGTGATACCTATTTACTTATTTTTTTTTTTTTATGTTTGCATCTGTTGAGTAGGTAGATATATTAGAGGTTAGTGTGAGTTTTCTACCAAAGATCATGTTATAAAAATACAGGACATGCATTTAAAAAGTCTGTAATGAAATTTAAATAAACACTTGAAGAAAGGAAAAAATAAAATCTCATTCTTACCTTCATTGAATATGGCCTCTTTTGCTGGATGATGCTCGTTATCATTCTGAGTGTTTGAGAGTATGGGTTTCCAACCTCAGGCAGTAATGTCTAAATTTAAGAAAACCAAAGTTTGAGTTTCAGTGTAATCGATAACATTTAGATAGAAGCAGCAATGAGATTATTAGAATGTTAAAGTTAAAAAAAATCCTTCTACACCATATATTTGATTATTGGCTTAGTTTGTTTACCTAAAAACCAAAAATGTGAAAAAAAAATGCACTAAAAATTATTCATTCTTATTGGCATACATTTCCACCAATTAACTCTATTGAAAATAAACATTGAGGGGCGCCTGGGTGGCTCAGTTGGTTAAGCGACTGCCTTCGGCTCAGGTCATGATCCTGGAGTCCCTGGATCGAGTCCCACATCGGGCTCCCTGCTCGGCAGGGAGCCTGCTTCTCCCTCTGACCCTCCCCCCTCTCATGTGCTCTCTCTCTCTCTCTCATTCTGTCTCAAATAAATAAATAAAATCTTTAAAAAAAAGAAAAAAAGAAAAAAAAAAGAAAAGAAACATTGAACTCTATTGAAAATAAATTCTCTAGAATTTGATACATATACATCACTGAAATGACACAACAAGTATATGTTTTATGCAAAGAGTATCTTTGGATCATTTGCCATGATGTTTATTTAATCCCTCTGTAAGATGGCTATTGCAAGGCTTTGTCATGGGAGAAAAGGATGTACTTTATTCCTTCAGTGGATCTGTTGCAGGACTGTGAATCATTACCATGTTTAGAAAATGCCATCCAAATACCATTGTTCCAAAATTAAGACAAACCATCAAATGCTGATTTCTCGAGGGGAATGTGGCCCCTGAGATGTCCCTGAAATCTGGCTAATGGTTTAAAAAAGATAACCATCCAGCTGCATGTGGCCTCCAGGGGACATGAAGGATCTAGACTTCATTTCTTCCAATAAGACAGAGTAAAATGCTAATGCTTATTTCTCAAAAAAAAAAAAAAGATATCAAGTTAATACATCATCTGTGACTTAGCCAATGAAAAGGTGAGGTAGAACGTTTTACCACAAAGCTACAAGTCTCAGGAAAATATCATGGCCAATATTTTTCACAGGAGTCTTGAAAAAAAAAAGGCAGAAAATTCATTTATAAAATATTCACATTCCATCTCCTATGTGTATTTTTTTTGACATTAAGGTAGATCTTTTTCTGTAACAAATAATGTAAGTATACTTCAAATATATGTTTCGAAGTGCCAACTATCTCTAATGAAAGTGACATTTGGTTTTTTGTTTTATTTTTTGAAGAAGGTTGAGAGGAGGCACACGATAAAAGCACAAACCTACCAATCTGCTGCTTTGTGGTAGACAGACTTCAGCGATCTCGTATGTAACATTCGATTCAGCAAATATGCATTTAACATTTACTCCAATAATACATTGTGACAGATGAGGAAGCTCCCTTAGATTTTATATAAACATTCTTCAGATTCATAGCTCTTTGCCTATTGAATCTTTTTTTATTTTTTAAAAATTGCATTTCTAATCATTCCTTAATTTTAACCACGTGCAAACATCTTACTATTTCTAAATCTTCACCTTAAAACTAGTTTCTTAATGGGATGTGGATACCTTTAATTCCTTTAAAAATATTTTTTTGACATTCATAATGGATATGCACCTCTCTAAATTGACCACCTACCTAGCCTGGAATTTTGATCCTGTCCCTTCTTCTAAGATATTATGTATCTACCTTCATAACAGAAAATGGGGAGTTAACTAGACTTCATTCATCTTACCATCCAACCAGTGAGGCCTCAGTGAACAAACTATCTGCTGAGTTCTACATGTGAATTCAGAAGAAATCCACCACCAAGCAGAGTAAGACAATAACCATCATTAGCAATGATGCTCATGCAAAGATGATCTATAAATAAGATCTGCAATAAATGTTGACTCTCAAACAAATGATAATTGCTGGTTTTTCCTAAGGAACTTTAAAAATAAAGTCATTTGTATTCATTTTACATCAAATCCACAATCTCTTTTGTAATGAGAGGAGTATATAACTTATTTGTAACAAAGAGGTATATAACCTGTTTTCGTAAGATTATTTTGCAACTCATTAGTCTGACATAGTCTTAGACTGTAGCTGCACACGTATGAAAGATTTCTGCACTCTTTTGAATATGTAAGTCAGCACCAGGAGGAGTACAGAGTATAAGAACTGAATTCGCTTTCCACCTCAGCTACTGACTACCTGAAAGAACTTGTCTCCAAACCTCAATCAATTCGTCTATGAAATGTTGACAGCAATATCCATCTCACTGATTTGTTATGAGACCTAAATGGGATTATGTATTTAAAGTATTTACAGCACAGTGACGAACACATAGTAAATGATCTGGAAGTGTTGGGCAATCTCTATTTAAAGTCATATATTTTGGTTGTTTGAGAATACTTTATACAAATAACTTTACACCAGCTAATTGTTATTCATTAAAGCATTAAATTCTCTTTCTTATAAAGAACTATATGCCTTATTGTTTTTTCTACTTTGTAATATGTGGTTGCACATGAACACAAAACATTTAAGAATTTGTACATTACCACAAAAACAACGAAAAAAAATACTCACCATATCTGTGTTGACATGTGCAAAAGATGGCACATTAAATATTCCTTGGATCAGTTCTGGTGGGCTACTAACTCCTAACCATAAGAACATGTTGAGACCGTTAGCCAATAAGAATATTCCTTCTTCTGAAAGACGGGACTCAGAGCAACGAATAGCAGCAGGTAGTGTTGTACTTTTGACATCTAATGTGTGCTGTGCAGGCAAAGGCAAGGGAGTTAGTACATCTGCGATCCTTCCCTTCCTTTCACCTCCCTCCTCCCTTCTTTCCTCCCAGTGCATATTTAATGAATGTCTACTATGTGCCAGGCATTATTCTAGTCATTAGACAGTAACTGTTCAAGCTACCTTGAACACTAACCATTTTTTGGAAGGAATAAGAGGCAACAAATAAAATAAGTAAAATACATTGAATTTTATCATATTACCTCACTGATATGAGGCATTCTTAATCTCAGGAAACAAACTGAGGGTTGCTGGAGTGGTGGGGGGTGGGACGGATGGGGTGGCTGGGTGATAGACATCGGGGAGGGTATGTGCTATGGTGAGCGCTGTGAATTGTGTAAGACTGATGAATCACAGACCTGTACCTCTGAAACAAATAATGCATTATATGTTTAAAAAAAAAAAAGAAGAAGAAGAAGAAGATAGTAGGAAGGGAAAAATGAAGGGGGGGAAATCAGAGGGGGAGACGAACCATGAGAGACTATGGACTCTGAGAAACAAACTGAGGGTTCTAGAGGGGAGGGGGGTGGGGGGATGGGTTAGCCTGGTGGTGGGTCTTGAGGAGGGCACGTTCTGCATGGAGCCCTGGGTGTTATACGCAAATAGTGAATCGTGGAACACTACATCTAAAACTAATGATGTAATGTATGGTGATTAACATAACATAATAAAAAGAAAAACACTGAATTTTAAATGGTGTTAAGTGCTATGAAGAAAAACAGGAAAGTGGGATAGGGCATGTCAGTGCTGGTGGTACAGTTTTAACTAGGCTAGTCCAAGAAGGCTTGTTGGGAAGGTAACTTTGGGTAGGCCTGAAGGATGAGTGACAGGGCCCTGGGGATATCTGGGGAAGAGCATTCAGGATGGAAGGAATAGTTGGTTCAAAGATCCAAAGGTAAGAGTCGGTCTCAGATGTTTCAGGATCAGCAAGGAGGCTACGGTGGCTGGAGTAGAGTGAGGAAGTGGACAGTAACAAAGATGAGGTCAGACAGAAAGGAGAGGAGGTGAGTACAGATGGCACTGGGCCAAGGCAGTAGGAAATCTGGTGTTTCCTGAAATGGGAAATCCTAGAGTGTTCTGAGTAGTGGAGGGACATGGGCTCATAATTATTTTAACAGGATCACTCTAACTTCTACGCCGAACACAGACTGGAGAGGCAAAGGCGCAAGCCTCAAGGCTTGTTAGGAGGGTACTGCTGCAGTCCATGGGAGAGATGATTATGCTCAAATCTGAGTGGTGACAGATGAGGAGAGAAAGTGGTCAGAACCTAGACATTCTTGGAAAGGAGAACTGGCATGTTTGCTGGTGGATGGGAAGTGATGGATAAGGGAACTAAAGCAGCCAAGGGTGACGGCAAGCTTGGACCTGAAGAATTGGCAAGAGAGAGTAGAGGTAAATGGGGATGGAGAAGATTGCAGGAGAGCAGGTGTAGAGAGGAGCTCAGGGCTTGGTTTAAGGTGCCCATTACACACCCACTCAGATATGCTCAGTAGGCTACAGGATAGACACATCTAGAGTTCATCTCCGGCTGGAGATACAGCATGGGAATCAGTATACAAATGACACTGAAAGGACAGATGAGCCCCCCCACAGGGTTGAGTGCAGACAGACAAGAGAAGCTTCCCAAGGACTAAGCCCCAGGGTACTCTGACAGCAGACAGAGGCGGCAGGAGAAGTGGCCAGAGAAGCAGAGAAACAAGAAGAAGTCAAGTGAAGAAGGTGTTCCTAGAGGGAGAAATAAACTGTGTCAGATGCTGTTAACAGTAAGAGAAGGACTAAGAACTGTGCTTTGGATTTAGCGGCATGCTGGCCACCGGTGACCTTGGCAAAAGGATTTTAGTGGAGTGGTGATGTTCTTATCCCTTAGAGTTCTAGTTTGTCTGGCATATAGATTGTTGCTAATCCATTTTTATCTGAAAACCATTTTGTAAGAATTATAGTGTTCATACTGATTGAAAGAATTAATAGCTTTTAATTTCCAACCTAATTTAACTCTTTCTAATACTGATTGTACTGTTACTGACAGCCCAAGTATGACCTTCATTATAGGAATTAGAAATAAGCCACCAGTCTTCCCCTCTTCTAGCCCTCAATTGTAATTTGAACTTGCTAGGTCTCAGGGAAAAGGAGCTTAGTTGCAGAGCACAGAGGCATACAAAACATCAAGGACTGACTTCAAATAAATGGAATACATGCAAAGTAAATTCTCCAAGGACAAGTGAAGTTGGTCCCTTGTACAGTGTAGGTGGCCTCAAATATATCTGATTTGTAAATCCTTAATTATATTTGGTCAAGGCTAATCATAGCCATTCTAATTAAATGTGGTGACTTTTAGACATTCATACATTGTACAGAAACAAATACATGTGTGCACGTTAAGATCCCATATACATATGTATCAATTGCCTTTAATGCTATAAGGTAGATTTCTTGAACAAATGAAGGTTGGCTTGCTCCAACTTGTTTACTAACTTTTCAATCTGCCAATTTGGGCATGAGGAAAGAAAAGCAATTATCTGAGCAATTCACTGGAATAGGAACACCTCAAATCCCCCACCATCACCATCGCCACACTGAACACATGCTGATGCATAATACTTACTTAAAAAGCCTCTGCTCTCAGTCCCACATGACACATTCTGAAGGCATTTGTGACTTTAAATTTCTTAAGAACAAAATGTTCCAGATAGAACATATGGAAAGGGACAAAATATGATTCCCTTCCAGATTCCTCTAGGAAATGCACCACTGCCTTGTACTTACTATTGGCAGAAGCTGTGGGTAGAAGAAAAGCTGAGAGTCGGCCACACCCATGGTCATGACCAGCTGTCTCTGGTACGCCCGCTCATCTGTTGAGATCTCTGGTCTGCTAAGCAGCACACAATTTTTTAACAAACAATTCATGTACACTGGTAATACTTTCATGGAATCTGGTAAAATAAGCTGAAAAAAGAAAGACATTTGTTTCATATGCTTGGCGTTTATGAGAAAGAACCCCTGAGCTTTACCTGTAAGACAAAAACATTTGTTTTTGAGGTAATTGTGAGGATTAAATGATAACACATATAAGCACATAGAGCACAGAAATGTGCTTAAACACATGAGGTATTTAAACAACAGCAGTTAGTTTTCTCCAGGTGCTTTGGCAGAATGCAATCCCGGCTCTGCCTCTTAACAGGTGTGTGACCCTGGGCAAATCATTCTCTCTTTTCCTAGGTTTTCTCATCTAAAACTGGAACAGCCCATCTCCTGCATGATCACGGGATTGTTAGGAGGATTAAATGATTATTAATTTGTGAAGCACTTATAATGGTACCTAGGACATGGTAAGCATCACACACGTGTTTATTAAATACAATTAAAAAAAGTATTTCTTAATCTGTGTTACGAACCTCTACCTCTTGAGTTCAAGAACAGTGTTTTTTTCAACTGCCCACTAGATATCTCTTCCTTTATGCACTTCATGCATCTTAAACTCACACGGTTAGTCATAAGCTCATCAAACACATATTGAATGCCACTGTGTCATGGGTTTTATGCAAAGTGTCAACGATAGAGGAATAAGGGACAGTTGATGTCACAAGATGCCAAAGTCCATCAGAGATGGCAGATATATAAATAGATAAAACATAAGGAGGTTGCAACACTATAGATATAAACTAAAATAGGAAATCATAAACATGTTCTTCCTCTTACGTTTCCTATTTGAGATATCAGAACTACCAGATGAACCCAATTTCATTTTTTCTTTACCTTCTATTAGTAAATTAATTATTTAAATTCTGTCTTTCTGATCCACCTGTACTTTCCTCTCCATCCCTACTCTGGCTTATGTGACCTCTGTACATACTGTAATATGATGCTGCAAATAACAACACAATGCAGCACTTCTAGATATCTGGTCTATACATTCATGATTGCTTTCTTAGCGTTCTCTCTTAATGATGAAAAGATAGATACTTATCAGAATCCACCCTGAAAAGAAAATTTTCCCCAAGGCTCCATTAGGATTTATTCCTCCATTTAAATCTTTCACATCGTAAGTTTCTTCTCATGATCTACTAAGTAAAGAATGTGTAAGACAGTTTTCTAACTGGTTCAGGCAAACATATTTCAGGACAATTCTACTTTGTGGTTTGTTTCCCCTCTCCTTCTGATCTCTTTTCAGAGATTCAAAGACAGTTAAATGCATGTTTCCTCATCAGAGCAGAATACTCTTCTTTTTTTCTCTAGCATAAAAGGTTTTTATTTGACAACATATGCTACTGTATTATTTTTTCAACCAAGGAAAAATATGATCAAAAGATGTAGGAACCGGGCGCCTGGGTGGCTCAGTCGTTAAGCGTCTGCCTTCGGCTCGGGTCGTGATCCCAGAGTCCTGGGATCGAGCCCCATGTCGGGCTCCCTGCACCGCGGGGAAGCCTGCTTCTCCCTCTCCCATTCCCCCTGCTTGTGTTCCCTCTCTCGCTGTGTCTCTTTCTGTCAAATAAATAAAATCTTAAAAAAAAAAAAAAAAAGATGTAGGAACCAGATCATAATCCAATTCCAGAGCCATGTGGCCTTAATGCTGTTTCTGGGCCAGTTACCAGTTAGGCAGCTTACATATTATGGATTAAGAATATTCTTAGATTCTCATATAGAAGCATGTACACACAGTTTTTCAAATATTATCTTGTAGGGGCGCCTGGGTGGCTCAGATGGTTAAGCGTCTGCCTTCGGCTCAGGTCATGATCCCAGGGTCCTGGGATCGAGCCCCGCATTGGGCTCCCTGCTCCTCAGGAGGCCTGCTTCTCCCCCTCCCTCTGCCACTCCCCTTGCTTGTGTTCCCTCTCTCGCTTTGTCTCTCTCTGTCAAATAAATAAATAAAATCTTTAAAAAAAAAAAAATATTATCTTGTAATTTCACTGGCTGCTTCTCATTAATCAGGTTATATTAAGACAATTTAGACATCTGTTGTCCTAGGGCGCCTGGGTGGCTCAGTTGGTTAAGCAACTGCCTTCGGCTCAGGTCATGATCCTGGAGTCCCTGGATCGAGTCCTGCATCGGGCTCCCTGCTGGGCGGGAAGTCTGCTTCTCCCTCTGACCCTCCCGACCCTCCCCCCTCTCATGCTCTCTCTCTTTCAGTCTCTCTCTCAAATAAATAAATAAAATCTTAAAAAAAAAAAAATCTGTTGTCCTAAATGCCACCAAGGAGTGAGACTCCTGACCTACAATGACCCTATAGGACTAAAAGTCTGACCAGAAGAGACTGAATGAAAGGGGGCAGACAGAAGAAAACAGAGGAGATAAATACGGAGGAAAACTGATGATGAAGAAAAAAATGGAGTTAGGGTGAAAGAAACCAAGGAGACAGTCTTTGCCAATGTTTTTGAGGTGGGGAAGAAAATGTGGGAACAGATGGACTCTATAAATCTTTCCCCACCTCCCTAGATCTCCTCCATGAATAACAATCATTCTTGGGGGAGAAAAAGGTACAAGTGTGGAAGCTGTAGAAATTCACGAGTTCAGTTTGATTGAATTTAGAGAATTCTTCTCTGAGTTTTGAAATGACAGAATGGTAATGAATTAAAAAAAAAAAAACTATTTGCAGTTAAGTGCATTTGCCTTGCCTTTTGAAGTCACTGTACTTCCATACGATGTAATATATTTAAGTTCGGAAGAGTGAGTTATTAGATTTAATAAAAAGAATCTACCTTGCTTATGTAAACTCAAAACATTGCTTTACTCTCATTTGTAGTTTTAGGTCTTAACCCAGCATCAAAATATGACCTCCAGAGTAAGTGCCGCCTTAAATCTTATACCCTAAGTGCTTCTCTTGCCTCAAGCTAGTCCTGGCTCTGGAAGTTCAGTAAAAGCAGATCTTCCGAGGTCCAGTGTCAAATAATCCAAGTATACAGCTCCTTCGTAGTCCTGCTTAGATCAAGGAAACTTTGGGCTCTACAGGAAAAGAGTGGAATTCCTTTAGGAATTTTAGATACTGTTTCTCACAAGTGAAATATGGGAGGGCAGCACATCTGGAGTTACATTCTCTGAAGAGAACCCCAAGTCCAGCCATTTCATGTTTCTAAGTAATGGTATATTTTCATATACTACTGTCACTAAGTCTTATAATCCCTAAATTTTCCCCACTCCATGCTGGATAATCCTAAAATATCTAAATTATCTCATTTCTTAAAGTGCATCATTAGTTGAAATGTAATTTGAAAATGTGTTCATGGAGAAAGTAAAATCTGATCATAAGAACAGGAATAATCTCTATCAACTTTTTCAGAGAAAATACGGTATCATCATGTTTTTCCTCCAGAAGTAATTAAATTGCATAACCAGATGATCTAGTAGTAGAGACAAAGCTTTTAACTTCTAAACCAGAAGGAACAGACAGATTTTATTTCTCTCCTTAAATAGGCAACAGATTTGTTTTTAACTTAAGGTCTTTGAATCCAATTGCTTTAACATTAGCAAATAAACTTTCTGAGAGGACACTAAGTGTACCTGTTCTCCTTCAACTAATCCTTCTGAAGTATGAGATACTCCAGAGACAGAATAATGTTTCCAGAGCTGTAAAACAAACAGTAAAACTGGGGTGTAAAATGCTCATGATTAGACTCGTTCCAGGTGCACCTGGTGGGCTTTGTATAAATTAAACAAGTACACTGTGAAATTGTACTGATATTGGAATTTAGTTACTGAAGTGTCACATCTTCTAGCTAATAAAGAGAACTGACACTTAACATAGAGATTCGAGAGCTGCTTATGTGATTGTCAACGCAGGAGACAGGAGAATGGGTGGCTAATTTAATCACTTAGAACAGCACAGAAAGGAATTTTTGTGAAAAGTCCAAGCTAATAACTGCATTTCATTTTCCTTCTTTACCCGGATTATGAAATCCCCCCCCCCCGATTTTATCTACATTATCTCTGCTGCTAACGGCTTTTTTTTTTTTTAAAGATTTATTTATTTGAGAGAGAGAGCGAGCGAGCGTGCGTGAGCAAGTGCACAAGCAGGGGATTGGGGTAGAGGGAGAGAGAGAAGCAATCTCCCTGCTTAGCAGGGAGTCCGACGCGCGGCTCAGTCCCAGGACCCTGAGATCATGACATGAGCCGAAGGCAGACGCTTAACTGCCTGAGCCACCCAGGAGCCCAAGGTTTATTTTTGAGTGGGGTTTCAGACATCCTATCAGTAGCCACTACTTCTGACAATGAGTTAACCAGAAAGTTTTCCCATCTGTTGCTGTCTTCTCTTTCAATCCAAATTCTATATTCAGATATTCAACATGAAATTATGAAAAGTACCATTTAGCTTTGACTGACATAGGGAAAAATGTGAACAAGAGAACAGATACAAAAATAAATGTGAACATGAGGTTCTTTTTCTTTTATCCAAAAGAGTCTCAACGAGATTTATTTAAAGGATCTTCTAAAATTTCCAAGTTAGTAGATGACACCCAGAGACATTTCCTTCAAAACCCTTTATACCTATTATTAACTTTTAAATATAAAGAATTTCAATATTTAGAAATTATATTTGTGTGTATAAAATATAAAGAAAGCATTCCTGCCATTTGCTCATATCAACTACAATTGTTAACATGCCTAAAAAGATATTTAAGCACACACATTTCTTAACCATATAGTCATCTTTATAAGCAAAAGAGAATCCCATTTATATTATGACATTTCTTACATATAACATTCTGTTATTTATACATAATGTAGTGACTGTCAACCCAATAGGCACACACATTTTTTGGTTCATGCATCTTGTAAAGCCACTAAGTTTTTTAATGTTGGCTGTAAAAAGACCATAGCCTCCCCAAATGCATTCTCAATCTTCTTGGTTGTATAGTTTATTAAGCAGAGCATCTAAGTGCCTGGAACATCATAAACCTTTAATAGCCAAATGCTGAAAGAACGTACATTTAGTATCACTTTAGGATCTAAGTACAATAAGTGGCTCACCTGGCTTGCTGCAGATGGACTTGCACAATTCTTTCGGTAACATGCCAACATATGGGCAGTCTGATTAACCAGAATTTCCCGGATGACCTTTAAGGGCTGGTGTAGAACTGCTTTAAATGCTAATTGCACAAAACAATGAAAAGGGCATCAAAGCCTTGGCTCAGAAATCAATCCCTTCAAATGATAATAATAATAATAATAATAAACAACAAATTGCTATTATCTTCAGACCACCCAGCAAGGAGTAACAGTGCTAAAATGTTAAAGTCAGTTGTTAATGTTCTCCATTTTACTAAGTATAACGATATACCCAATGGAGAACAAGGGCCTACCTCTAATAAAAGGTAGGTAATTGGTCCAGATTTTTCCACAGAATATTATAAACAGAACTCTACACACAGAAAAAAGGAAGACCAATTTGCCATCTTCTGATGTCCTGAATGCCTATGGGCTGAATTGCTGTTTCCTCGAAACTTTAGTGTAGAATCTCAAACGGGGCTTGTGGAGGGGAGAAGGAACCAAAGAAAATTCCAACTCGGGCCCCTCCCATTTCGTAATTATCATGGTATGGATAGGCAAGTTCAGCCCAACATTAGGGACAGTCCCTTTCCATTATCCCCAGGTGCTAGAGGGCATACTTACATACCATAATAACAGTCTAAGTATTACCTTCCTAAATTTCAACTCAGAACCCACCCCCAGCCCCCGAAGGAAACTTTGAATAAAACTGCAGAGTGTGGGCCTGAACTGAGTTATCTCATTATTAATCTGGAATGAGAAATGCTGACTATTCTCCCTGGCACTCTGCTTTTATAAGTTCTGAATGTGCCCACCACAAGGCTGTGCTACCAGAGTAGTTGTCAGTTACTAATTCAATTAACCAACAAGTCTTGACTGAATTATTAGGCAAGATACACTGCACCACAGGATTAGCAGTGTTACCTGACTTGGCGAATAAGTTGATAAGGGCATCCGTCTCGCAGCTCTTATAGAGATCAGCCAACTGGGAGCTGCAGTTCAAGCTAAGATTGTGAATCCGAAGTCTTCTCTGACCTCCGATGGTCGTGTAAAGCACAGCACACTGCAGAGGCAAGATCAAGGACACATGTTTTCTGGTCAACATGTCCATCCAAGCTAGCCTGATCTTATTTACACTTAGAGAACAGTGTGTACAGCTCAGAGACCTCTAAATTCTTCCACGTTGAACAATAACAAATAAGGGACGTATAATGACAATTCATACACTGGGTCTCTATGTAGCACTTCACTGGTTTAAACTTAAATTTTAACCGGGCTTTCACACATGAGTATCTGTTTGCATCTACCACTAGTCTACTTTCACATTATCTCAGATTTCATCACCAGGGATTCAGGTGCAGAAATAAGACTTTCACGTTCATGACCATAGCCCTATTCAAGCCTCACTTCCCTTAAAAACATGCAACTAACTCTGATGATGTACTTAAGTCGTATGCTGCTGATATATGCATTTCAAGAATGCAAACAAGTATATACTTCTTCAAATATCTGTGATCAAAAAATAAACATTAGTTAGAGTTCTTCCTCAACTTAATGCCGCCCCCTCTCCATTCTTTAAGGGTGATGCTAGTATCTGAAAACTATGACCATTAGATATAATTGTTCTTGTTTTAATTCAAGATCTCCATGGCTTCTGCTTAAATTTATTTACTACAAAACCAAATTCTATTTATATTTGCATGTAACATAATAATGCACTTAACATGGTGTCTGACATTTGGTAGGAATGCAACAAATGAATGAATGGGTGCTAAAGCCTAAAAGAAGTGAACATTGTTGGCAGTTTGCTCATGCCTACAACACTGACCACAGTTTGCTGGGCTCTCATGCAATGACATACAATTACGACTTCTTACAAATAGCATATGTAAATCAGGGTGCAGAGAATACACCACAGAGTGCCTAATGACTTTTGGGGAGAAATAGAATTGAATTTCTTTACAGAGAGACTAACTCAGTTGATGGTATTTTAGTCTCCCCACTGACCAGTCAGTAACAAACTAAAATACCAAAGATGGGAATACATTTTAAATCACCTGGATTAAGGCTCCACCGTCTTCGCCAAGCTTGTCATCATGCTTGAACTCCACAGTCACTGCCTTGTCACAATCAATGGCTGCCATTTCTACATCAGTGGTGTTGTTCATAAAAATTCCACCAAAGAAATCAGTGGCTCTGAAACCTGATGATGAGGAAAAAGGGAAATTTTGTTCCTATTTAATTTATTACTATTTTCTCTGCTGGTCCGTTATTAATTTGAAGAGGAAATAATTACACAACAGAGACTTGAAAATAGTACAACTGAAAATTACCTGTGCTGGTACGAACCCTCATAATAGCATCGAATCCTATTTTCTTTTCAATATCATTTCTGAGATCATTCAAAAATTGTTGGCTATCCATGTGCATCTGAAAAATAAAGTAGGATCAATGCCCACCAGATGGCAGTAAAATACTTAAAATAACAATTCTCATTTTAAAAATCTTGATTAAAACCCACTTTATCCAGGTATCTTAGAAAGGACTCTTAAAGCTTTTTCAATTTTACTTCACTTGCAACCTTTGGTCTTACCAAATCCCTTAACTATTTTACAATATAAATATGTAGCTAGATGATTAAAAATAATTTTATCGATGCTAAGTAAAAACAGATGATGATGAACATTTGTCATTTATGTTGGGGGAACACTCATTCCCACTCCATGTTTCCATGTATAGGTACATAAGTCAGAGGCACTCCCCTGACCCCTTCTTCTCAGGTGAGAGCAGGTGACATATTTGAGTAGTAAGTCTGAGTAAAGGAACTGGGTAGGCATAGCTTAGTCTATTCTGGATCCTCTTTCTGGGGAGACAGCCTGCCTGTAGGAGGCACACATTTCTTGCCCCTCGATATGGTAACTTTTGAAGGTACAGTTGTCCACAAGAGAAGCTTGTAACTGTGCCCACCCTGTGCCTGGGTATATAAGTTTGTTACACTGAAAGGTAAAGCATTAGCAAGCCCACTTGCCCACAGACCTAAGTGTGTACGGTGCTCACATTTTTACTCTCTCATGACTCTGTCTCTTAATTCAGGCTTGGAAGGGAGGGGTATCATGAATGGACCACCCCCAGATTGTAACAATTTAAAACAAATACATAGTCACTTTGAAAAACAGTATCTTAAATACTAAAATTTTATATAGAATGTATTTTTCCCCATCATGCAAACTTACATTGAAATTCACATCTGAGGCTAGATGAGCTCTCTCTGTTGCCAAATACTTAGGGAGTAGGAAAGGAACTGCTTAATCACATATACATCATCTCCATGGGTTACAGCATTTACATTTGCCAGCTGCCCACAAGGGGGAATAGCTTTCTTAACCCATGATTTAAGCGCCTCAAGTCAAATGGCAGTAGAAAACCTGAGGTGAACAAGTTGCTGGCTTTTACCTGGAAATTGTTGTATTTGTAAAGGGTTCCTCCGGTGAGCTGAGGCACGAGACCCAAAGAGGCCACGTCCACATACTGGCTGGGAAAGAGGAAGAGGGTCACACAGCAGCCGTGAGCCACACACTCCTTGGCCAGTGAGTTGTAGACATGTGTTTGGGGCTGGAAAAGTGTCTGGGGAAAAAGAGGCACAAAGGAAAAAGGAAAACCACAAAATATTTTTGGTTTCAATTTTTAATTTCTGCTGACTTCTTTTAAAATGAAGGAAAAACTGTTTCCAGTTAAGTGAACTGGGCTGAAGGAATGAAGTATGGTCATCATCAATGCGGCAGCCGTTCACTGAGCACCCAGAGTGTGCCAGGCTCGTGCTGTATGAAATGTCTGTGTGCCAGCAACGTTATCTGATCCTCCAACAGCGCTAATGAAACTGACGTTGCTGTCTTACCTTTACAGACCTACACGGGGCAACCTGTCTGGTGTCATGTGGCCAGTAGCTGGTGCCTACCCCATAGTCTTACCCTTCCCACTGACTTGTCACCCCAGCAATGGCTGTACGGTCAGGGTTTGAGCAAAGCGCATTTTGAGCATCAGGCACCTCTACTTCCTGTCTCAGGAGTGTTGTTATACGGTGCTGTCTACATTCTCCCTCTACCTTCATCTCCTTCCTGCATCTCCTCCCACTCCCACTCCCATTTCTTTTTTTTTTTTTTTAATATTTTATTTATTTGACAGAGAGAGACACAGCGAGAGAGGGAACACAAGCAGGGGGAGTGGGAGAGGGAGAGGCAGGCTTCCCGCGGAGCAGGGAGCC